GCGAGACCAGAGAATTCGGTATTTATGAAATATTCTAGTATTTTATGTTTCAATACTCGAACTAAGCAACTGAAACCTTCAAAATCTGACACTCTGACATCAATTGACATTCTGCGTTTGTTCTTTCTATTATTGCTTATCGGCAACAGTTGTTCATCACTTGTTTTATTTGAGATAACAAATCGAGGTATTGTCGGTACATTCCTATTTATTATTGATGTGATAATTGCTTGTTTACTAAAACTTTTGTCTAAATTATGATCGCGTCAAATTGACGCATATCCGTAGAAATAGGTATACCACATAGAGAATTTCAATATTTCAACGATTTTGAGGTAAATAGCATTTAATATATATTTACTTCGATCAATGGTTAAAAGTCATACAAGAGATAAAATAAAAATTCAAACGGGTTTTATAATTTTCCTTACAAAAGTCGAAATCCGTCAAAATGACGTGTCCCGTAAACCTAGTGTTAAGAATGAGCGGCTGAAAAAATTTATTATTTTACTGTGACTAATCTTCACTTTACATCGAAATATCCAGAAAAATGTTAGTAAGAATTATTTAATTACTCCAAAACTAATTCGAAATCTAAATCGAGAAGAATTACTTATTTTTAGACATAGAGGGTATATGGCAGCAAAACAATCATAATTCCTCAAATAGTTTTTGTTAAACTGAATTACGCGGAACAAGGAATGGCTTTAACATAATTTATCTTATAACCATTGTTGAACAGTCAACCCAACTCCGAGTTTATGCCTATCAATGTTCAACTCTGTTCTGAGTAATTTTGAACCCAACCCAGAAGACAAAAGAACTCCTAAATCAAGTATTTCGACGAGAGAAAAGGAGACCTCTTCATCGAAGCTACCCTCCCTAAAATGCCCTCCTCTTGATTCCATAGCACCAGACTGCCGCAGACTTAGTGGTTTTCAAAGTACCTATCTTAGACAAACAATAGTATAATGTGTGACTTAACTCAGAACTATCTGGATAGCTGGCAGCAAAACCCAATCGTGTTGCCGCTTTCACAATTTAATTTTGTAATAAGGAAGAAAACATTTGACAGATCTTTGTACCCATGATACTGATCAGCAACCAACCACAGGACTTTATGATTCCATAGAATTTACGAGCCTGTACTCAGCTGTTCTTAGCGCCTTTAAGAATCAAACCACGGCCTCTCCGTATTGAAGTCCAATGCTCTTATGACCGCACCTTATAAATTTTCAAAATTTATGGCTCTACTTTTAAAGGGATACGAAAATTTTTGCGTACCCTACTTAGATGACATGGCGATTTCTTTCGACACCTGGGAAGAACATTTAAAAAATATTGATATAATTTTAAAACGAATCACAGAAGTCAAGCTCAAAATAAAACCATCAAAATGTAAATTTGCTCAACGTAGCGTGAAATATCTTGGACATATAGTTGGAGGAGGTTTCCGAACGCCGGTGGAAGCTAAAATACAAGCAGTTATAGATTTCCCTCCCCTTAAAGATAAGACGGTTTCTAGGCCTGACAGGTTACATTAAAAATTATGCTTGTATTGTCGAACCTTTCACTAGAGCACTAAAAGGAAAACTAAAAAAGACCAGTACTCTATCTCTTCCTGGTTACAGGCAGACCAACACTTGCTTATCCCGACTGGCCAGTGGACACCTGAAAAGTCTCTCATTTTCTGCTAATCAAAAGATCTTTCCTCTTTGCCCTAAATGCCAACAAAACAGGCATCACCTGAGCATATCTTGAACTGTTTAGGGCTGGACTGGACATTCATTCCTCTCCCCTTTTGGTTTCGGACTTCCTAAATGTCCACGGATTTATTGATCTGGTGTGACTCCGTCAGACCAGAGATGAATTAGCAACAACAAGGAAAACTAAAAAGGAAGCCATTGATTTGAATCAGGAATTAGAAGAAGCATTTTCTGAATTGAAGGGTAGACTAACGAAAAAACCAGTATTGTAAGACCCAAATTATTCAAAAGAGTTTGTCATTCAAACTGATACCTCTGACAAAGGTGTTGGGGGTAATTATGGCACAGAGGGGGAGGGCGAATAATGAACACCCTGTTCTTTATCTTAGCCGAAAATTTTCCGAACCAGAAAAACGGTTCAGCACGACGGAGAAGGAATGTGCAGGAATAATTTTCACAATCAAAAAATTAAGACACTACTTGGATGGACAAAAGTTCATAATAGAAACTGACCATAATCCTCTCGTATGGCTGAAAACAAATGCTGGAAATAATTTTCGTTTGAAGAGGTGGGCATTAGCCTTACAACCTTTTAATTAAACTGTGATTCACAGACCAGGACAGGATATAAAGCATAACGACTGTCTCAGTAGAATAGAATAAAATTAATGAATTTTTATTTTTTGCTGTGTTATTAAATTTGTATTAATTTTTTGTTTGTATAAATTTTTTTGTATTATTTTTTGTTCAATCATTAAAAAGAAAAGAGATTTTTTTCCTTTCTTTTTCATAATTATTGTTTCAGTTGTAAATTCTTTTCTTAAAATTAATGTAATCGGTTAGTGTTATTAAGTTAGTCTTTTTCTTATTGGCCTCTAGTAAAGTGATTAAGCTGCCTTTGTTGTCTAACTATTATTTTTTAGCAAAGCAATTTTGCTCCTGATGTTCGCAAAATCGTTTTAAGGAGGCGGGGGGACATGGACAACTGACCCCCAAGTTCATTCCCCTCGGCATCCGGTGTCTCCCACAAAATTATGAGAACTCCAAGCACGTGTTGAAGGGGAGAAATACTGGACTTTGTGACAGAGGAGGACAGATCAGTCTTGACGGACAGGAGATGATCAGCGGACCTAGGGCCGTCTCGATTAAGAGAAATAATTCTCTTTGTTTTTATTAATCTAGTGTTCGGTAGAAAGCGACTATTATCATCTAGAACTGTGTAAATATTTGTAATTAAGCCTTGTACATATAATTTTAATCTGGAAAATTATATTAAAAGATTTGTTTTTGATAAGAGTGATTTAGTTCAACCCGAACAAAGTAACAAAATCGCTACAGTTCTCAAGCAGTACATTTGTTAAACTGTTCCAAATTTAATAAATTTCATTGATATAAAATTATTAATTTGATATAAAATATCGAATTATCAGTATTATCATTTTTTTCTAATTATCTAATTTTTTCAGAGAGGGAGATAAAATTTACATTACAAAATGTAAGATAAATAGAAATACAGTAAGGAAGTTTTTTTTATTAATCCCCAATTTCATTTATTATAATCCTTAATTGGTAAAATCACATTATTTAGCTTTACTGTCGATTAAGCTAATTATCCCCTGATAACTTTGATAAATACAAAATAATGCAACAAAGTTTTTATAGTTTTTCTATTCATGTCATTAAGGACACATGCTTAATAATTTCATACTCCATTATGGTAAAAACATGTTTTTTGAGGACCACTGGTTAAATACCCTAAATTATCTCAGTAATTATAAAATATCGAAACAATCCTTTTTAAATATTTATTTTTATCTCATAAAAAGTATATGGTTCAAATTTGAGACTTCTATCTAGGTAAAAAATGTGCTATTAGTCATTCTTTTCAATTAGGTTAATTACCCTAATAATTACAAAATATTGAAATGCGACCTTCTTAGTTTTTTTATTTATTGCATAAAGAACACAACGTTTCAAAGTTTTGCTTTCTAACTTCATGGGAAGTGGGAAAATTAGTAATGAGTTAAGGCTTTGATTTTTATATAAAGTGCGTAGCCAAATCTTTTAACAAAAAATAAGACCTTTTAAGTACTTTCTAAGCACTCAAAAAACATTTTTAAGCACTATATACATTAAATAACTGCAAAATAATTTTGAAAGACTTTACATGATCATGATAAAATAACTAGTTTATTACAAAACACTATTTTTTTTATTATATTAGCGACTATAAAAAGATCGAGAGTTTTTTTGGTTCAATTTCAGTGGGTGGAAGCTGAAGACTGAAATTAAGAATATTTTGCAAAATGCAGCAGAATAGCCTATAAGAGTGCAAAAATCTCCCCGACCTGAAGACGCACATGCTGGCTCTAGAGTATTTCATCAAACATGTAAAATGATTAGCACTTTTATACACTATGGACCAACAGTAGGCCAAAATGGATTGTGGTTGAATGAATTGTGAAAACGGTGAATAGAACAATGTGAAAAGCCCGATTTTGCATCATACGTGGCGAAAATCGACATTGTGAAGAAAAAAAAATCACATTTTCGAAAAGGGAAAATTAAGCACTTTTTAAAAACAGCTAATGAAAAAAGCACCTTTAAGGGCTTGCTCACTAAAAATTAATATAAAGTAGAAAAGTCACAAGTACTAATTTTCTGAAATTAAATATTGTGAAATTGTATATTACGTATTGAAAAGAAATAACTTAGTTTCAGTATCATAAAACTCAAGTTTCAATTTTTAATGGATATTGCTCACTAATGAAGAAATTCATTGTCAGTTTACCTTTCCTATTTATGAGCAAGGAAATACAGGATAAGAATAGGCAAATTCAAAGTTTTACATAACCATGCTAACATTTAAACATTTTTTAAAATATGAAGAAAAAAAACAATGAAACTTCAATATGTTAAAAAACCCAATTCAACTAAAGAGCTCACAGGAGAAGTGATATTTCAGTGAATTTAAAAACATCAGCTTAAATATAGAAATAACAAGAAACCATGTACAAAAAGTAGCTGAGATATTGGCTCAGGTATAATATGTGCTAAAAGGTTCATTAAATTAAATTTAATAGTTTAGTTTTAAGAGCATATCTAGAAAAAGCATTTTTCTTTTCTTTAAATCTCCCACTCTATCTGACAAAACAAGATTGTGCAAAAGCCAAATAATTGCCTATAAATACTCATATTAAAGATAATAAAATATATTTGATCACAAGGTATTTTCATTTTTACAACTTGGAATGAATAAAATTAAAAATGCAAAAATAAAAATATTAATGTCAATAAAATCCAAAACAATATTTATTAAATTTGGGCTTACATATTTAAAGTTCTGTATAAATTTACATGAATTTCTATACATTGATATTATGTAGAAAATTTTTTATAATAATGATACTCAAGAAAAATATTACGCTTTATGCTTACGCTTTTTACAATGGCATGAATATTGATTGTTGCTCACCTAAATTAAGAATGCAAGAAATGAAAATGTGAATAACTATAAAATATGTATCTATGTTTATTCATATCAATACATATTTAATGCAAATATTTTCATTTAAAATTGTAAGTAAATGTACATAAATTTCTAATTATTTCATTTTTTTTACAATAATATTATGAAAGAAAAACATTATGCAGCACAATTATTTGCATAAATTTTCAAAAATGGAAGCTATTCAGGTGGGAGACATGAACACCAGACATATTTAATAAGTTTATGCCAGATAGATTTGGATTAATGAATTGAGAGGAAAAAAAATAAAAATTATATTTATAGGGGGAAAATAAAGCAATATTAGTTAAAAATTTAAAAAAAAAAACATTTTAAGTTATAGATAGAGTTGAAAGCTAAGTATAATGATTAGCACAAGAGCAAGAATGATATTACAAAGGTGAACGTTACTTATGTACTAGAGTAAATCAGTATCTATTTAAAAATAACAATAAATAAATAAAAACATTCCTCTTGTTAGTCGTCTAGAGCACCGTTGAAGACTATTGTTTCTAGATAAAACTAATTCATGAAGGGGTGTAAACATTCCAGACAAGATTCGCATCAAACCTGAGAGTAAATAGCAAAAGCTCTTTTCTTTGAAATATTCCTTATTTCCTGTGACTGTAGTGAAACTTTTTTGGTTAGAGAGACATTACACGCTCCATCTAACTTAATGTTGAAAATAATATCCACAGAATTGTGCGAACTGTGTTTCTAAATGAACGTTAACACCTTGAATCAGCTATAGGCAGCTGAAAAATTTACAATCGCACCAAACATACAATTATTGATTAATTTTTTTTTCACAACTCCTACATACCACATGTACCCCCAAATTCCGAAGAAAAAAAATTGTAGATATAGAATGTAAAAATAATTTTTATTGAAAACCCTACCTAACACAGAATTACAATGCACAATTTTTTTTAACGATCGCCCCACTTCAAGTCCAACCACATAATTTAAAAATACATCTTAACATATATTATTGGCAATTCTAAAAAACATTACCTTTATATTTTACAAAGGTAGCATTGACTTAAATGAAACAAAATATTAAAAGAAAGATGTTTAGATAATTTTAGTTTAAAAGAAGATGATTTGTGGATATAAATAAAGATTTATGGGTACAAATAAATGATATGAATAATTATTTTGAAACATAAACAGAAAAAGAAATATCATGGCATAGTCAATATTATTATTTTTTTCCTAATATTTGTAAATTCAACATAAATCTTTTAAATTGAAAGATTGACGTATAAACATCTATTTATGCCTTTTATGTGAAACAGTAGTCCAACCATCATCTTCTTCATTCATAGATAAATTTTCTATTTCGTTAGTGACAGAACAAACTGACGAGACCTGAAAAAATTAAAACTCATTTAAATTTGTACTTGTACATTTTAAAACTGATAAGATAACTACAGAATTCAAGCATAAAAATCAATATGGTAACATTAAATATTTTTTAAAATATTCCACACAAAAAAAAACTGAGTAAAAAAAAAGAACAATTTTAATAATTTTTTTTTTTCAGTAACTTTTCCAAACTAAAAGAAATTTCAAAATATTCAAAAATCAGGAGAATTTTTAACTAAACCAGAAGAATGAGCAATTATTGTAAAAGTTAATCAAAAAGTAGTCATTAAAATGAAAATGTTATCATTCTAATGTTTCATTATAAACTAGTGAGCCATAATATTGTCAAACAACAATTTCAAGAGTTCATCTTTCCTAAATAAATAAAGTATCATACAATATTTCAAATTAAAATAGTTACTTCTTTTATGATAGTTTGCATTTATATCCGTGGAATTTACATAGATGCGGAAACTTTTGAATGCTATGCTATGCTAAATTTGAGCCAGGCATGTAAATGTTGAGTTACATAAGAATAACAAACATTTTAAGCACAAATTCTTATAATTCTTGATAGGAACATTCTTTAACTTAGGTGTATAGATAAAAAAGATTAAAACCTTAAGAAGTATGAATAAACATATAAAGTATAAATAAATATAAAAAAATTAGGAAATTCATATTGCTAAATTTTTATCTTGGATATCCTATACAAATTATATACTACAAATTAGTTAGAGAGTTTGATTAAGAGGTACAGAAAAGGACATATCACAATAAGTATTTCATTATTTATGAATAAGCATCTTTAAAAATGGAAATAAAAATGATAATATACCATTTTTTCACACTCTTCAGATTTAGAAATTTTTCTTGTTCGACTAGATGACACTTTTACTTCTCTCATTTCACGAAATATTTCATCATTTGGATTGCTTAAAGATAACCCATAAGCACAGCAAAATTTACTAGACACCTTTTCAAAAAAAGTCAAATTAAAATCTTTTTTTTAAAAGAATAGAGAAATTTTGGTAAGAAAACAAATAACAATAAAATGTTTGTCAAATTTTATTAAATCTTATTTCAGAAATCTAATCACTTTATAAAAGTTACCTGCAAAATTTAAAAAGATTCATGAGTACCTAGTATATAAATTAACAAAAAATGAAACTGTACGAAGTATTGCTTAAAAAGGAATTTCAATTTTTTGTGAAAATAAATGATCATACCATTGATAATGAGTGCTGTCAAATATAACTAAGCTTAACTTTTAATGCTGTTGCTCACTCTTTTTATTGAGTTTAGTGTACATTTTTTTTACTTAATAATTATATCTTTTGCCAAATTTATAAAAATAAAGAGTAATATTATTAAAACTGGGCTTGTAGTAACTTTTATTGAGCAAAAAAAGAAAGAAAAAAGTACTGTCTCATATTATATGAATTGAGTATAAACTTCGAGAAGTTATGAATCAATTATTTTAATTAAAAAATTAAAATCAACTACATAAATCTTTTTTTTTTCTTCAAAAAGACATGAATACAAAAAGGACACAAATACAACTTTAAAATAATTTTAATTGACAAAAACTATTTATTTCTTAAGGTTTAAAAAAGATACAATCACAAAAAAAAAGCCATTAAAATAATTTGAATTAAAATTTTAACTGAGCACATCCTCAAAACTGATAGTTCATCAACAATTAGACTTTAAAATATTAAGATACCTCTGCTAGACTACCATCCTCAAAGTAGGTATCAAATTCATTTTCCAGCATTTCACCAAGATATTCTTCTATTTCCGCAGGTTTAACATTTTCTGTTTAGAAAAAAATAAATACATTAAACAACGATCTATACGAACAAAACAAATTCTATTGATTAAAATTATTAATACATATTTGTTTTTAAAACAAATAATTTTCGTTTATTTGCCAAATCCACTAATTTAAGCAGGCAGATATTGCAAAAATATTTTCAGTTAACAATTAATGTAAAAATTTCATAACAATACTTTTTTTTACATTAATTTAACTGTTGAATATAAAAGATGTAATAATGCAGAAACTAACTGCTAAAAGGGTTTTTTATAAAAACAAAGTAGTTTCATCCTAAAATAGTAATTGTTAGAATAAGAGATGCAAGTGGTCCCAAAATATAATATCATTCAAACAGTGTCTAAGAAGTAACAATAGGAATGGAGAAACACATGTATAAATGATGAAAACTAAGAAAACTAGAAAGAATAATTTACATGAAAATTAAAAACTTTTGTGGGTTCATAGTTGAAAGAGAGAAAGGTTGGTATTAAGAAATGGCAGAGTGAAGTATTTTAAGTATGATTAAGTAATTTGCGATTATAGATTTTTTAAAAAAGAGAGAGAGAACGTTAAAACACAGTAAACAAAACAAAGTATTATACATTTTTTTAAACTTTACCATATTGTTTAAAGTAGTTCTCTACTTGAACTCCAAGCCACACTTCCTTTTCTTTTGCATAAGGTCCACCCATTCCAGCATCAATAGCTGTCTAATAAAATCAAAAGTAACTTGATAAACTAAATGAATAAATACATTCCTACTGATTGATAAATAATATTAATAATGTTGGATATAATGAACTAGAATTCATAAATGCAGATATTTTTTATTGCATAGAATAAAAAAAGAGTTTGACATTAATATTAATTTATACATCCTAACTTTAATTTTAGCTAAAACTATTAGAACTATTTTAATCAGTTTTTAAGCCTTTAGCTAACTAAATTAGCAATTAAACCAGGGTCTGCACTACGGACTTGAAATTATTAGCCAGTAAATTAGTCAAATATCAATAAAACTAATTTTGTGAAGTGATTATTTGAAAACTATTTTTGCGAATATGAGAGAATCCAATTAGGACCACGTCCGTGTAATCTCGGGCGACAAGAGTCAGAAAGGCTTGTTCCACAAATGATAATATTAATATCATATATCACTGTGATGGGTGAAACTCCATGTCTTGAAGGGTAAATTAACAGAGTAGTACATATAATCATAGTACCAGTAGTACTCATTATCATATTGACTTAACAGAAGAGTTTTGGGTTAACCTTAAAGAAGAGTTTGGGTAACCTTAAAGTAACAAATCTAAAGACTGATCAGGGAATGAGTCCGCAAAGCCTTCGTATTCTATGACCAGACCATTGATCAGATCCATGATCATTCCATGAAACATGCATAGAAAAAAGGGTCTAGGCTATCAAACATCTGCATAAAATATTTTGGACAACAAATTTGCAATTTTTAATAAGGTTCAAAAAAGTAAGTGGGAAGGTTTTCCTATCATGTTCTGAAGCAGAATAATCACCAAGTCTTGGCATTTTCCAGACAGCGGCCTGTAAAAAACTAAAAAAACAGTCGAGGTCAAACCCATAAAAGGACTAACCAAGGACAGATAGGATAAACTCAATGAGTATGTCTAGCAACAATCCTCAGGTAATGTACACGTTTTTTTCTTCAAAAAAATTGCATGTTTAAAATCTATTTGGTGGTTATAATTGGCGCAATATGGAAATATACGCTTATGTATCCAGTTTCGATCAAAATTAGTCATATTTTTGGTAGATTTCCATGTCGTGATCAGTGGCAGAATAATCGCAAAGTCTTGGCAATTTTCGGGCAGCAGCCTGTGAGAAACTAAAAAAAAAAATAATTAATTACAGAAAGAGTACAACTCAAAAGGTATAACTCCTAGCCACCCCAGGCAAACATCTACATGTTTTGTTTTGCTTTTAAAAAAAATTTGCAAGCTTAAAATCGATTTGGCACCTTGGCGATTGCAGTTCAGAGTACGAAAATAGACCTTACATTATGACTGCTCATGTTTTATTTTTCATTAATGTAACAAAAACAAATAAAATTGAATTTATTTTCAAATATCTCGGTCAAATTTCAATAAAATCCATCACCTTATTTTTGAAACATTATTAAAGGTATGAAAATATAACAAAATTTCTTAAAAAATAACAAACTAAAAAAAAAGGAGCCTTCTAACTTTTCTTACTTTAAAAAAAAAGTTTTTTTTGCTTAGGAATAATCAATCAAATTAAATATTTCATTAATATCTATACAAATTTAATTTTAACATTTTCAATAATGTCTCCAATTTCTAAAAATGTCTATTTATTTTTTAAAAACTATTGTTGGAGTAACTAGCAAATAAATAATCTCATATAAAGCTACTTCTGTCTAAGATGTTAATAAATGCAAATTTAAAATATATTATTCCTACTTGAAATCCAACCCAATTTTTGAAAATGTGGCGAACGTAGCATAAAAATACACTTTCTTCAGCCATTATTAGATAAAATATAGCAATCACAAGGATTTTATCACAGAAAATATGAGAAATATTTATTTATTTTTATTAAATTAACAATATGTGATAAAATAAAAATTTATATCTATAAATAAAACTATTAAATTTCATTATTGAAAATTGGAATTATTAAGCATGCGCAAATTTGTTTATTTATTAAGAATCCTAGTTATATCTATTTCTGCTCGACTGAAGAATTAACTAACTCTTTAAAAAAATTGAATGATAGAATTAACGAAAATTTGCCTTTCTAACGATTAATTTTAAATGCAAATGTGAATTTTTGATAAAAATAAATATCTATATTATTTATAGTTATATTTAAATTTTTATTAATAATTCAACAACAAGCACATTTTTTACTCAACTTCCTGAAAAATTCGCCGGCGCCTTTCCACATTTTTAACATGTTGGTTTAGAATGACTGATGTCGAATGTTTTGAGTGTCTGTTAAAGAATGCAAGATTGTATGAATGAATTATTTCTTGATACTTTTTTTGATCTTATTTGATTGAATTTATTTCTTACTTTAGTGAGGAATAATATTCAAGATGATGACAAACAGGGAATGAGCATTTATATGCGATGAAGTTCTCCTGGCTTTTCGGATATGATGACTAGAACGGATATCTGAAGTGAATGTGTAGCAACTTTGAACCTATTTTATAGCGTTTGGTTGCTGCGCGTTTTCCTTGTTGTCAATTACAGTCTGATCCGAACTATATAAATAAAAATAACTCATTTTATTGCAACAAAACAATAGTTGGATTTTCCTTGAGAATACGCAACAAAAATGGCTAAAAACGTTCTGCTTTTTAAGAATTTAGTCTCGTACAATACATTTTATTAATTTATTTGATGCCTTCTATATTAATGTATGTGTTTTTAATTTCTTCAATGAAATATTATGTTAATTCTAGTTTTGCTGGTTAAACGAATTTTCTAACTTTGGAAAAGTATCTGAAAAAAATTCTATCAAATTAATTGCCTTACTTTTTATTGCTGACTTGAGTAAGGAGATTTCCATATCGTGATCTGTATCAGAATAATCTCCCAAGTCTTCATAACTTCTAGGCAGCGGCCAGTGAGAAAATGAAAATAACTTAATAATTAATCTATTTGGTGATTGTGGCTGGCACAACAGATTACAATACTGAAATATCCCCAGTAATTGAGTATTACTCCTACTTTATGAATTGATCCTCATTTTATGATGTACCAATTGAAGCTTTTCATGTTTAAAATAAGACCTTTCATTTTAGCTACTGATACAGGAAACCTATAGTCCTGTTTGCTATTTTGCAGTATCATTTTAACACTCTGAGTGTTAAACGGGTGTTTTCTATAGTTAAAAAAAATTTAACTGATAGTAGGTCCAGCTTGGCTTTGCCAACCTTGGAAGCACTGCTAATAGAGAAGTGCAAAAGTTCCGAAACATGCTGCTATGATGCAGTGTTAACTGAACAAGACTTAATAAAAGCTACTTATGTTTCTTTAACTGGCGAAAAAGTTTAAGTCTTTGATATAATTATGTATAATGATAACAATATAACGAGGAAAGTGTTCGTTTTATTAAAATTTATTTTTCATTTGCTTTATAATTATTTTGTCTACAATTCTTTCATAGTAATCTCATTGCATAATGTAAGTTTAAAAAATAATTATACTTTTTTTAAAATCATTAAAAAAGTGAATAATATAGTTAATTTTAATCATGATTTAATAATCTAAGATGGTCTATATATTGTTCAGTAACTAGTATTAATTTTCCATTTTCAATATTTTTCTATTAATTATACCCTTCTAAAGTAATGTATCTTTAAATTTATGCACAAAAATATGAATAAATTTGTTCCGAGTTACACTCCTGAAGAGACTCCCAAAACTCCTGATGTTTTTAATAATATCTCCTGAAATCCTTTTTACAAAGTTACCAGGTCTGCACTCATTAAGATGTCTGGGCTGGTCTGTTCTTACCTAAATAGTACAAACGAAATTTTGTTTTATTTATTGAATTTCAAGAGAAGAAAGACAATGTTCTGCAGTTTTTTTGTTATTAAATTATTTCTTTTCATATTATTGTTAAATAAAGGTGAACATATGCATGAATGATGTTACAAGGCCACCAACTCTTATTCTAAGTGGTCCTCAGCATTATTTATGATAAAAATACTTAGTGATATCTAGATGACTTTCATTATTAAGAAGTGTATATTAAACCCTCAACAGGGAATAAAAGTGTATAAGGTTACAAAAGATTGATTAATTGTATTTTTATTGTCTGAAAAATGTCTTCACTTTTCTAAAAGTGTAATAGGTGGCATATTTCAGAGGTATATTTTGTGGCATGCCTACTAATTTAAAATTAATAAATTTCATTAAATGTTGATAGAAGATAATTGCTTTAATTAATATAACTGTTTTTATTTTATTGACAAAAAAATTTCATCTAGAATAGTCTTGCTATAGATTAAGTCAAATTATCGTTTCAGAAAGTTAACTGAGTAGCCATTGAATAAGGAATAATGTTAAAATGTAGATAGGTTGGTAGTAAAATTGAAAATGTTTTTTTTTGTTTTGTTTATTTACAACAAAAGATAACATAATATTTTAAGCCCCAAATTGAAAGCACTACAAATACATTTAATAGATACCGTGTTAACTATTAATTAATATTTTCTATTAAAAATTTGAAAAATATCCCATAGACCTGTATAATTAAAAATTTTAAGTTAGCTTATTTGTAACTTAACTACTCCATTTAATACTCAGATGCATTTGTTATTTTAAAGTGAATATCAAACGAAGTTTCCCTTTGATAGTTAGTGTATATAAAGATTTTATACTTAACATTTTCAAAGGGCACTCAGCACCATGAAAAATTATCAATTGTGTAATATTAAGTAATAGCTGAAACTGGTTCTTAACAATTTTTAAATTATCCTCATGTATTATCTTATGTGTGTATTTCAAAAAGTAATACTGACTCATCAAAATAAGAGAAAAATTTTTAGTTCATGAAAAATTGGTTACCCTAAACAACTATCACTGTGCACTCATTTTTTCAAAAAAAAGTAAATTAAAGAAATTATTAATTATACAACATGAAAGCTTTTTTCTTTAATTTAAACTAAAATTTTTGAGATTATAAGCATTTAAAGATGCACTTTTTAAAAAAAAAAAAATTAATTTAAAAATTAATATACTCTCTCCGAAAAAAGAGAAACTTTTAAAAATTTAACTAGTGCAGAATAATACTTACAAAATAAACATCTGTAATAATCAGAATTAAACCAATTAATGCAAATAATTTTATCAGTGAGTTAATTTTTTTAAAATGGAATATGGATAGAAAGGCAGTGTTTTTAAGGGAAAATGTTTAGATATAGTTTCCTGCCAAAATATTGATGTGAAAAGTTGAAATGCTTAAAATACAGCACTACCTAAGATACATTTTGCTCCTTACAATCAAAAGCAGAAATGGAAATTAAGTGCTTGACTTAAAAAATTTTTATAATTTACTTTTCGGTTTATGCTTAGAATCATTGAACAAATTTGTAAATTGTATTATGATTTAATTCATATTTTCAAAATACATTATTTGTACTAAGAAATTACAGACCTTTTAGTGGTCTGAAGAAAAAACCAAAACAATTTTTAGTACAGTATACGTATACTAGACTACTTAAAAAAAAGTACAAACTGAAAAAAGTATAATTTGCTCTACTTGAGTACAATGAGACAAGTTTTATTGCAAGAAAGATGATAAAATATGCTATTTTTTAATTTCCGAGTTACTTTATTCTGTTAAAAAAAGTTATAACAATTTTTCCAGTTGAATTCTATTAATGAAGCACTAAGCAACTCATAACAGTTAGAAATAAATATTAAGGAAATTGTAACGGTGCTGCTCAAATTAATATTTTAAAGTTTGGTTTCAATAATTTCAAAATTAATATACTTTTAGCATTTGTGTTCAAAAGTAATTTTCTGGATGAACTATCAATTAAAATAAAAGGATAATATTAGATCAAAAATCCATATCTTTTGATTGTTGAAACCAATTATTTTTAGAACTGTGTTAGTATTTGTAGAAAATGTGATGTTCTAAACACATTAAAATCAGAAATATTAGGACATGAAGCTAAAAATAAAACAAATAAGAACAAAATGTTTTTATCAGAAAAATCAAATTTCAGAACTGCTAACTAAGATATTAATCTTAAAGCTCTATTATTTTAAAATAAAGAAATTTACTTTTAACTTATTATTAAACCATTAGTACGGAATCTTGTAAATTCCTATGCAACCCGTGTCATTTTTCATTACTTTCAGGTAATTATTTTTTTATTCGTTATGCCTGTTATTTGAATGATCAATGTGATGATGATAGCATAGATGGACTACATCACCAGATTAATATTTTTAAGATTATCTGGAACTATAAAGCTAAATATTGGATATATTGGCTAAATCTGGAACTATAAAAAAACTTGAATTGAATATTTCATTAAATAAAATTTTTTCTTTAAAAATGCATCTTGTAATCGGAAATATGAAACATTTCATAAGTTTTGTAAATACAAAATTAATTTAAGTAAAAGAAAAAGTGAACATGTACTTCAACTGTTTATATTTTAGTTTAATAAAAAAAAAATTTTTATCTATTTATGTAAAAATAAGAAACTTTATAAATGCTAAGTCGATCTAGTATTCTATTCTTACACCCTTGGCCAAAGAATGCCTGCTCTTTGTTCGAAAAGCTTACACCTATTAGGGGTAAAAGATATTAAATACAAGTAGATTTTTTTTCAATTAATTATTTATTTGCATGCTTTTTAAAATACATTTTCATTTTTTATGTCCTTATCAAACTGAAGTTTAAAACGTCATAAATCCTAGCAGCTAGCTTAAAACTTGCTCGATCAGTTAAACATACAATTTTAAATGGGGGGGGGGGGGTTTTTCTGGAAAGAAGTAGAAGCTCCCTGATCTTATTTTAACATAGTATATATAAAAAATACTAATTTTCAAGCTATCATCTACTTTGATAGTTCTACTAATATTAAGCTATATTTTTTTTAATTCGTAAGTAATAATGATGTAAAAACTCCCAAAAAAATTTTACTTCTAATTTAACACATTGAGCATAATTATTCAGAAATTTTTCATTA